TCCTTCCCTCGATCGCTCACCTGGCAATAGTTAATTTATGAGAAGCGAACGGATGATATTAACATGGCGTCCGCCGCTGAACTTTCCCCAGCCCAGCAACTGTGGCTACGCCGGCAGCGTACGCTTGATTCAGAGACTTAAAATTCCCATTCCCTTTTCTTCGTCACACCGTTACTCTCCTTGCTATTCCCCGTGCTTTGACAATTCTCCGTCTTCTTGCCTGATCATTTGGATATATTACCCATTCTTCCCATCTAGTCTCTTAGACTGTCACTTTTACATGTCGCGGCTTTGTGGATTGCATGCTAGCTGTCGCCGGTTTTTTTTTTGTTGACTCCGTTTTATTTGCCCCCGGCCGCGTGCGGCATGGTGGGTATACTTCTACACGATGTGAATCTAAACTATGGCTGTCGTCGGTTTTGTTGTCTGCAAAAACTAGTCGTAAATCTCAAGTAAATTTCAGATGATGATCACACCTCATGTTGATGGACCAAGAAAAAACAGTACGTGAGGCTGGTGAAATGATCGAGGGAGAGTCCCCTCAGTAAAGATACCACGCTGTACTGTCCGAATGCCAACATAATTCACACCGGTTCGAGTGTAAATGCTGCACTGCACCTAAGTAATTTAATTGATACGGCTGTACACCAGCGTAGGATGATCAATACTCTTACAATGAAATATTTTTGGGGGGCGACAGGAGGCTCACACTCGATGCGACTTGAAATAAGTGATTTGTCTCGTCCAGCTCGTACTTTCGCTGTTGAAAGACGTCCGAGATTCGGAGAACAAAAATGATACCGGTCCGAGTCGCGTACTTACTGCGGCTGGGTTCGAAGTAACCAGTTTGACCCCGGATAAGCTTTTTACCCCCATTTACAAATCCCCGTCGAATTCAACCAAGTTCAACCTCCTATCCCCGGATAGACGGAAATGCGACCAATGCGAACAGACAATTTTCGTTAGTACCTAACGTCTATAGTCAAACAAATTGTTTGGTTCTAATATAGTTTTTTCTTCTTCGGAAGATTCTGCTTCCTGAGCCTCAGGAACTTTCCTCTTCAATGAATCCACACGTGATCAATTCGCGTTGAGGAATCGACCAAGCAGGAGCAAACAACGCGTGCCACAAGCTCGACCAGAAATCACAAGCTAAAAGCAAGCTAATTAGCGAATACAACCGTGGAAAGACAGATGATAGTTACGCGGTGACTCCGACGGTCTCAATAGGAAGACCGAACATTGTGAGGCCCGTGAATATGAAGATGGCCGCGCTGGCGAAGACAGGCCTACAGAAATAAGACAAGTTAAACGACGACGAGATAACAGAGACAGGGAATCCTACCCATTAGGAGTCTTTCCGGCGTTGCTGTAGACGGCGATAACTTGGAATACAAGTTAGCTTGGAAGAAAATGATTTGCCCAATGCATCAGACTGACTGGGAGCGAAGAGGCCGGTCACACGGCTCGCCGCAGCACAAAAGGCATCGCCTGTCCCACGACGAGGAGTGGGGAAGATTTCGGGTGCATATCCGTACAGCACCTATCGAAATGAGTTGAAGAGTCTGACTGAAATGGAAATGGCTCAACGCACACCGTAGAAGGCGTTCTCCCAGAAGCTCGCAATTGAAACCAGCGCGTTGACCTGCACCGATGTTTTCGCCTGACTAAATAATGAAATGCACGTGATAAGTGGGAGACGTATGGTGAGAGGATGGATGATATGGATGATGCACGAACGTGAGGGCAAACAGGAAGACGCCAGACATGATTGTGAAGAATCTGCGTAAAACCACGCTTAGCTTTTGCAGTAAAACAAGTGAGAGTTCTACTAACGCCATGGAGAATTTCCGGCCGGTGCGAGACCACTGAACCATGACGGCGGCGAGGATAGATCCTCCGACACCGCAGACCGCCTGGTACGTGTACGCGGCTTTGCGAGTACGAAAGAGAGATGATAAATCTGAAATTCAGGGACATGTGAGTGGCTTACAATAGGTTGCGTCGATTCCAGTGTTGCCCGTGTCCGATTCGCGAGAAGACAGATAACTTCCCCTTGAAAATTGGGTTAGCAAACAAGATATTATGATGCGCTGCTGAAATCGCCGACTCACAGAAACGCGTTAAAGAGCGGGTAGGCTAGGCCCAGAGCACCATCTACGTAGATGTTGTCGTTGAGTTATTTCCGAGAACAACAGGAAGTGGGCTCACAAATGAAAATGATGAGGCTGGATGAGTACGCAAGGCGCGGAGTAGCGAATAGCCCTTTGACATTCTCGCCGCTGAGGTCGTCGCTGGAAAATGTGATTCAATAAACCGGACATATACGCAGAATCAACGCACACTCACAAGCTGTTGCGAATGAGGCCCCAGGTGGTGAAATGTGTCACGGCGAGATTCGTCTCAGAGTGATCCGGGTCCAAGTACGGGGATGCAGCACGATGGAGGTCCTGGAGGGTTAATTTCGAAGTCGTTCCATTCTTCTTGGCGATACGATGGATGACATCTACAGCATCCTGGTCCCGACCAATGCCTGTGGAGATTTAGAGGGAGGACTGCTGCGCAGAAAGCGATACTAACCGACGAGGAATTTTGGGGACTCATCCATAGGGAAGACGAAAATCCGGAGTATGCCCAAGAATACCATCATTGCACCAAGAGTATAGTACGAGTCTGAAATGCGAAGACCATGAGTAGATCAACGAAATCAACCATGTCGGAAACTCACACCGCCAACCGTTGTTATTCGTATTGTCGCATTGGTACAAGCTGCCGTCTTGAAGGACTAGCTTGCCGACTAAAGTCGTGTCGCAGGAGTACCTAAGTTGATCAACGAATGTTCTCGTGCCAGATAGTATATTAACGCACTTGGCCAAGAAAACCCATGAAATCAGGGAGCCTACTACCTGCCCAACTGCCCACCAAAGTGAGAGTAACGTAAGGAGGTATTGATGTTTTCCGGGGAGGAATTCCAAGAACAATGCGCCATCTACGGGCAGATTGCCTAGATTTCCAAGGGGTATGATCCAAACCGTCGTGAAATAAATTTTGTGAAATCTGTACCTCCGACACCAAAGCCTGATGCCTATCATCAGCGTTACTTCGTTAATTATGAAAGTTCAACATACCAATGCAAGCAAGCAAAGCTTGAAAGCAGCCTGCGTTTAGTCATGCAGTGACAAAAGTTCAACTTGTACACACCACACAGCGTGATAAAATTTGGTGAAGCGCCGGCACTAGTGGACGTGAATACGGGAAATAAACCAAACACGAAGAAGGATACGCACGCAACTCCAAAAATTCCAGAGAGGAAGAGAGTCGCATTCCACGCCGTTCGTCGACCGATCACGTCGCATGTCATGCCCCAGAAAGTCGCCTAAACCTTGGACGTAAGTGAATGATGTGCGGGAGGTGAGAAAAAATAATTACACCAACGATCAATCCACAATAAAGAGCAAAAGTAGCCATACGGATGTTACTCGAATAGTCCGGGAAGTTGTGCTGAGAAAGATGGTTAGATGTAGGAAGTCAACTAGCGAATAAAGTGAACGAACCTGATTAGCAATAGCAGGCATTAAAATGGCGATAGCTTGAAGCCATATATCTTCGTGTGCGTCAATACAGAACAGATGAAGATACAACAAGGACCCTGCTCACTGTCTGCGAACCAACTGATTTGGGTGAGGAGCGCATTACAATAAACTCAAGACAATAAACCAGAAGGCACTGACCCGAACCCTGAGGTACAATTTTCAGAGGGTAAAATAAGTAAAGTAAAGGTAAACAGCGCACCAGCACTGAAAAACAACTCCCACTACACGCAATCAGTCACACGATCACCCAGCGCCGTTGAGTCGCCGCGTTTAGCACGTGAAATAAAAATTTCAGGCGGCGTACGACCGCCACTCCATTGACAACATCTTGTAACGAGACCCACCTGGTACCTGCGTCGAGTATCAGTCGCGAGCTGGCAGGAGAGAGCACCAGGGACGTACCGACCCAACCCGCACTCTGCGATGGCCTCATTGAGAACTCGGACCCTGCGGGAAATCAGCATATCTCCTTCTTTTGTCAACATACGACTCACTTGGCCAGGAAAATGGGTTTTATACCCTCCTCGTGTGCTTTGTCCAGCAGCAATTGGTCACTGCGGTCATCAGCAATTTTTTCGGCAGCACCCTCGAGGACTTTTTCGTGATCGTGGTCGCTCATCGTCGGTCAAGATGAGAGCGGAGGACAAGAGGCGGTCGAAGATAGGTAGACATCAATCTGCGTGGATATCAACATCGGCCCGACGCCACCACGCACGTTGCCAAGATCAAAAACGGTACATACTGTACATTGTGACATTGGGTCGGTCCGCAAGGAATTCAAGATGCTCCAAGCCCACAACAGCGTGGTCGTTACTGGTTGCTAAAAACTCCTTCAGTCCTCCTTGGCTCCACTCCCACTGTTGCCTTTACGATAAAGCAAGTCTTCTGACTCGGACCCAAAGTTTACTTCATCCCGTGGTCCGACATCGATGAGCCGACGCTGTCTGCAACTCACAATACCCTCGATAAGCACGCATTTCAATGCGTCTTGGACGACGTATAACCTCATGGAGAGCGGCTGCAGAGCGGCTGAAATGATATAATCATCTTGAAGAAAGATCGTGAAGCGCGGCGCATCGATCCCATTTTTTAGCCGAGCGCACGATTGTATCACAAGTACCACAATAGCGCACAATGCGGATGCATTTCAATTTCAAGCCACTTGCTATGTACCAGAGACATTTTGTATACGTACATGTAGACCGCAATCTGGAAGCAGAAATCTTGAGTTTTTGAGAAATTTTCAAATTCTCTGGGTGCATGCCGGGATTTCCAGATTCGGATATGTACTGATTCGCGCTGTCTCGGTAACCCAGACAAGACAGCGATTGGCGGATTGATACTCGTCTGTGACGTCACGGGCGTAAGTCTCTCTCATTGTCAAGGCTTTGGTGACCAACTACTTATGGGCGTATGGTGTAGTGGTATCACTCATGCTTTGCATAGTTACCTCGTAGGTAATGATCTTGTATGCGGTCCAGGGTTCAAACCCCTGTGCGTCCAGCTTTATTTTTGCGTGTGCCTCTCGTACTTTTTTCCCTGCCGAATTACCATTAATGCGATTCACGTCGTCCAACCCTTTTTATTCTCTTCAAGATCTGAAGGGCGGCGCGAGAGGGCGAAAATTAGATGACGAATTGGACACTTCCCACACTTGCCTACTGCATTGGGCGCTAACTTTGCCGCAAGGTTGGCGCAAGGAGTAACCTGCACCTTCATCAATAGTGCAGCTTGTCGGATCAAAGGCAGTCTATCGTATAGTCGACATGAGTACTGATAGCATATTGATAACAAGGATACAACGGGCCTGGATAGCTTAAATTAATCACTCTAACCTGGACGAGGAGTGGCAGGTGTTTCCTCGTCACAAGCGAGGGAAGTGTGAGGAAGAACTGCGCTCTCGTCGTCGCCGCCGCTCGAGGTTACCGGAACCTCGCCAGAGCTAGCCTCTACTGGCTTCATGGCGTCCGCTTCGTCCCTGCGCTCAAAAGCGCGCTCCATATCGGGCACATCAGCGAGCCATTCATGCAGGACCAGATCGCCGGCGCTCATGCGCTCGTCCGGATCCAGCTGAAGCATGGGGAGAAGGAATTCAGAGATGGCGTCCGCGTCCGGTTGCGGGAAAAGATACTTGTCGTGCAGAACCGCTGACAGTGGCCATGGCCGTAGGTTTGGGATATGGAGAAGTTTGCCTGGTGTGGACGCGAGTAAGCTGAACTGCGAAAGACAAAGGCAGAGCTGACTTGCCATTCGGGTCGAAAAACTCGCCGCTCCACCGCCCGGCCTTTCGCACATGGTCGGGGAGGTCCCCGAGCAGCTCGATTATCTGAGCCATATGATCGTCGTCCTTGGTGTACTTCGGCTTACCGCCAGCGCCTCTCGGCGCAGGAGCTGGATCGAAGAGGTAATCCCCGCCAGTTAGGAGCTCGAACAGCTGTGATCAAAAGATTTAGGCTCATGCTCCAGCAGAACTCAGATTGGACACACCACGCAGGCGATACTCCATATATCTGCACTGGTCCCCCATGTCGTAGACCCAATGATGACTTCGGGACATCGATATTGTCGAGTTTGTATGTCGTTTGTGAAATGGTGGTTTGTCCAAGTAGCTGAGGAGAGGCTTAGAGACACGGCCATGTCAAAGTAGGAGGTAACACCGACCGTTTCCTAGATCTGCAATCTTCACCGTAATCATCTCGTATTCGACCTCCGCCTCTACCACTTCTTCTACCCATCCCTCTTCACCTTCTGCCTTCTCACCTCGACCGCCAAGATCAAGCGTCAGAGGTGGATGGGGAGGGGCAGGAACGGGGGCCGGAGTCGTGGATGCTGGTGCAGATCGCGATATAGACAGCGAGGACATCCCCAAATCGCTGTCGCCCACACTTTTCTCCTTTCCCTTAGTTCTTGTCTCGTCGGGGGAGATCTTAAGCATTCCAAGGCCCCATGTCTCCCCTGGGAGCTTCGACCGCCCACTACTGGCGCTGCTCAATGAAGAGAGGCTGATAGAACTTCCGCTTGGACTTGTACTTGGCAAGGGCTGGCTTCCCGTTATATTAACGTTGATGTTATGATGCCGTGGCCCCGGAGTCAGATTCCCTCCGCGACCGGAAGACGCCGGGACGCCTTTGAGCATCGTCGGAGGTGGCACCTGATGCGAAGTGGAAAGAGAGGAGGATGACGAGGAAGACGGTAGGGCGAGTTCGGCCTGGATCACGGCCTCGACGTCTGGGATATATATGAGGACGTTCTCAGGCTTGAGATCTACCATGTGCGAGGTAAGATACAGGTAGAGGATCAATTGCGGAGTACTCACCTGTGTGTATAACCCCGCAACATCGATGCATGTAGTCCAATCCTAGCAGTACCTGTTTGGCGATCTGCTTTACTAACGGGATGGGAACGCCTTTATGCTGGGTTATGCTGCATCGTATTAGTAGTCGGTAGGAGCGTGTATGGACGTACCTGGTTCCTCTTAATCAAACCAAGAAGATTCTCGCCCAAAACCTCAAACACCATGCATACGTGTGTCCCATTTGGTCCCTGGTGTCTGAAGTGGTCGAGGAAAGAGATGACGTGAGATTTCCCTGGATGCGAAACTGAGGTGCTGGGATCCGAAGATGTCACTAGGCGCTGCAGAAGCTTTATCTCATCCACTGCTGTCTCGGTGTACCGGGGGGCAGATTTAACAATTTTGAGCGCAACATGCCTCTGCAACCTGGACACATAAGTCAGTGTGTTCAAAAACGCGCGAGAGAGACCCACTTCTCGTCGCGTGCCAGCCATACAGTCGAAAAGTGCCCCCATCCAAGTTTTCGGACGACGACGTAGCGGTTATTGGAGAAGGAATCCCCTATTGAGACAGGGTGGTAGCCGCCAAGTTTGTATTCCTGCCAGTCTTCCTCGTCTTCAGCCATAGGGGCGGACAGGAAGCAAGGTGTTATCTTCGAATACACCTTATCTCTTCTCCGCTTATGCAGCCGCCCGATTCAACCATCAAACACGCACGGATGATCCAATCTTCCCTTTCCCGTGAAATGCGGTGGACGACGAGATATTTGGGACATACCGAGGAAAAACCGAAGTCGAGCGCACAGTCTAAGCGCGATTTAGAGTCCGTTCCCGGTCTGTGAGGTGCAATCGGCAGGAACGGCATCAAGGTCTTCGAATGCAGCGAGGAGTGATCGGTGATCCGCGTCTTTGTGGGCCGATCAAACTCCCCACATGAAAGTTCGACCAATAGGCGGCCGAGGATATCTCAGCACCATAAACTAAAAAAAAGGTGAACTCCACGCTGGAACAAGTAGAACCCAAATGATGCCTACATATACCTGTTTAGAACTTACGTTGACTTGAATTTTTTCCGAGTCGGTTTCGGGTATGTCAGACGGGATGCATCATGAGAAATTGAACTTGAACCTGCTGGAACTTATCGATCCACCGTTGAATGGGCTCGAACATGGAAAAGTCGGAAAGTTGGTTAATTCTAACCCACCTACCTTGTCAGCTGTACTGATCTATTTGATTTGATTTTGAACCACTCTCCGACCACAGACATTGAATTCAACTCACCCATTCTGTTACCAAACCATAGCAAAATTTGCGTGGCGACGATTGGACGAGGAAGATAAGCAACGATTGCAATCGGGAGCTGGCTGTCACAGAATTTTCTCGAGCCGGGTCAGGCAAGGGCGCAGAAATTTTGTCGGCAATCGGTCCAGTACGACTTGGTTAAACCTGGAGCTAGATGTTCATCACGACGCAAGGTGCCTTAGGGAGGACGTCAAGAAATGACTCGAGTTCTGAATCTCAGGTTGGATGTTCTAACGTGAATGTTGTGCCTCGGCCTTGAGAACTGTCTGGGAATGAAGGTGCATTCGAGGAGGAGGATAGACAGCCTCGTCCTGGCGTGGTGGTGGCGGCGTGGATTTGGGGGACCGGAGGGGAGGAGGGGCCTTTGTCTTGGACGCGCTCGGATCCCGTTTGTTATGCCGATTTTTGTCTACCACAATCCGAGCTCGGAGTCTCCGACGCGTGTGTGGCCCGATACATCGGGAGAGTTCGAGGGTGCGCTGCGAATCAAGGAATAATGAAAAGGCCATTGAATAAGGAAAACAGCACTAAAGCCGGCGTACCTAGCGACCTAGGCTGAGGAAAAGACGAAGCAAAACAAGACGAATAACGCATTCCTTGAGTGGTCAATTCGGAGTTTAATCCAGGATGAATGAGAGTGTGCAGCGATAGCAATCTGCCTGAAACTTTAGAGCTTGCTGTGGAGCAGTTTGCATCTAAAGAAAGAGTGCGCTGGGGAGAGTGAAGGACTCGGAAGAAGAGGCAACTTTTAGCCAAGTTTGCGCGACCATCAGTGCACCATTTGCCGCGGCGATCACATGTCGTGATGCGTCCCGTTCGGGAAGCAATGCATCACTCGGCGCCTCGGCACATCATCAACTTTCTGCCGCGCCGCCGTTGTGTCCATTTGAAAATCGCTCTCAAGTCTATTAAATTCCAAAGAGGTACATGACAAAACCAGTATAGGTACACAACTCGGGACGTTGAATACAAATGCACCAGGCAGGGAGAATATAGACTGTAGGTTGTGTGGCGTGCTTCACGGTGGACGCACGTTTGACTGGTACAGGTCGTATTAAGAGAGCACGGATGGTGCAGGTGGGTGTGTGAGGCTCAGAGGCGCTATAGTGGGCAAGGGCACACAAGTAAATTGAGCCCTGTTGCAAGTCAAGTAGTGGGCGTGAGGGAGAGAGGAGTTTGTTTGGTGCGGGTTTGCTCCCAAGGGATCTCGGCAGAGAGCCACTGCCGGCGTGCCGAAGAGTTGGTGCTCAAGTGCGGACTTGCGGTTCAGTAGTCCGACGTCGCTCTGTTTCGCAGAGCCAGCTGCCACTGCTGGAGGGAGCCCAGCTTTCCAATGGCCTCCACCCTCCAAACGCCACTACACCGAATACAAATATAACCTGGTCCAAAACACTACTTATGGTGACTAACTTCTTTGTAAGCCTCTACGAAACTAAACCTGAATGTACATTTCCCTGGCGCCGAGCTTGGCCTTCTCTTCCTCTCCGAGTCCAAGGGGTGATATCTCACCCTCCGTGCTGTCCGCGACACTACCTGGGATAGAGACTGGGGTGTGTCGGAATTTGTACCACGCAACAAGCGTCGCGATAGTTGCGCCGAGCGCGAAAAATACTGCGGGCCACAGTGTTTTTGCTGTGATACTGACTGTTCCCATTAGCAGGGACGTGGGGATCTTTTGAATTGCCACTCACTGTAGGACACGTCGCGGTATGGCAACAAGATACCCAAGCGGTCGAGTGTGGGCTGTATCGTCGCCATGGGGAGCTCCTCACCTCCCTGGTGAACCCTAACTGTACTGCTCCTGGAAAAGACGAACTTCGTGTGGAAGGCCCCAGCAACAGCGAGGCCAATGATGCTGATCAAAAAGGCTGCGGCCTGGTACGGAAGAGATACACTCGACAGAGTCGTTC